AACTCAAGTGAGAATGATTCTGATGCATCAGGAACCGGCAGTCCTTCTCCGTGGGGTACTGGGCGCATAGCTGATGGAATGTTTGGATAATGCACAGTCCACTTTTTCTTCTTTGACACACCTTTCCCAACTGGAGGCACCATGCAGAAGTAACAATTGCTGGTATGAGCTGTTGGCTCTCTCCAAATCATTGGCATAGCTTTCCTTTTCCTGTTCAACCACTGGCGAAGATTTGTTGCACAAGTGTTGCAGCATATGTGTGGGGCCCACCTCTTGTCCTGATCTCCAACTTTGCAGCCAGAATAAAGGTGATAGGCTTTCTTAATCATAGTGGTTATACTGCGCTTTTGTGATGCAAAAGTCACTTCACCACAAACATAGCAGAAGTTATCTGCACTGTTCCCACAAGTACGAGGCATCTCTGCGCACTTTGGCTAAACAGAAATGTGTCCCTTTGCAAAATCAAACATTGACAAATAAGAGAGCACGACACTGTATGATTTCTAGAGCTTATATAGGGCAATTTGTTCAGCAGAGTGATGTAAGCTTCATTTTGATTGCATCATCCATGACTTCTAGGAATAACATGATGCAATTCATATCATGTATGACGCAATACCAGCTTCAGATTGCATCACTCATTGTTTTGCCTAAAAAGCAAGTACTGTCCGAAACCAGTCATAGATTTATTCATAGATCCAGTCGAAGATGTATTTTAGTCATTTCTGGTTTAACTTGAGATCCCTTCCCTTTATAACTCACGTATCCTCCGCCATTCCCAAGTCAAGGGTCGTATATACTGACCCAATAGCTTATCTTGAAAACTAGAGCCAATCAACAATTTTAAGCATCATGTTCGTTCTCAGTGACCCAGAATTAGTAAAGTTTGACTACATTTATTTCAGAAGCATTTTGGCTGTAGAGCAGTGTTATCCGTAATAGAGTGAAATATTTTAATTCATTTGACTTAAGTATAGTGTCAAAAATTTTACTTTAGTGTCGTTTCATCTCCAAAGGTAATTTTAGTAATTGTTACTTCATCAGAACTTTGAATGTAGTTATATGCATTGCTGTTCTAAGGAATAGTTATCATACATTATAGCTGGATTAACATAGTTATTGTTTATATAATAGCAGACTTATTTATCTTTCTAGCCACACAAATGAGGTAAAAAAAAAAAGGGGGCACAGAACTTCCCTGTGCTTTTTATGCATGTGGTGTGTGTAGCTGCAAAGTCTAATATCTTCATGTTGGTAGTTTATTATCCAGTATTTTTGATACTTCCAGAACATCATTAGCTAGAGAAATCTCCTCCTAATATGCTCTCTGGGTCAGAGCATAACAGCACATCTTTGCTCTGCTGGATTCTTGTTGTGTTGAATTAGAAATTTACAAACAGACTGAATAAAATCTACAACAGCTGCCACATCAAATGTTGGAAAATTGCATTTGTAAGGAAAATTGCATTTGTGCATGTAAACCGAGTACTAGGGGGCTATTGTGGTGATTTGGTACAGTTTGGAAACAATGGAGCATGGGATGGATTTTGATTTTGGTTCCTCAGTCATTGCCATTACTATGCTATATGATTCCTGGGACATCCCTTAATTGACACACATGTTGTTCAGCTTGGCTGGTAAACAAAACTAAATCATTTGAACTTTGAGTATTGCTGGAATTTGTTTCACTTTGGATACTTCATGTGCTTGTGCTTAAATAATGCGTAGTTAATTCTTAACAACTCCTTTCCAAGAGGAATACTCCTTTAAAATGTGGACACTCTTTCCGCAAGCAACACTTTCTAACTGCTGTCAATGTGCCCTTGTAATACCGTTTTGGACAGCTTAGTAACCGTTTAATGAGCTCTTATAGTTGTGATAACTATAGGGTAGCAGGTCCAATGAAAACAAAGTGCAACAGCACAGAAAGGTTCTTGAGAAACATAAAGACAATGTAAAAGACTCTGAAAATTAAAGTGTTAGGGATAGTGGAGACAGACTACAGAGATATTTTGCTAAATAGAAAACCATATACCTTTTCATTTGAGCTGGAGAAGCTGAAGACGGGGGGATACTGAAACTACATTCAAAACACCTTTTTTCCTCTCCCCCACATCATCCCTCCCACCACAAATGAATATAACACACAGCCTTAGAGAGAGTGCTGCTATGGCGTCTCAGAAGACCACATGGGCTAATGAAGTTTGTATTATGTATAGCTAAGGCCACGATTTAGTCACGGAAGTAACGGAATCTGTGACTTCCAGCAACCTCTGTGACTGCAGCCTGCGGTGGTCGGGAGCGGCCAGGTCCCCCACCTCCAGCGCGGGCAAGGAGTTGCAGGGACAGATCAAGGCTTCCCATGAATTTTTCTTTTTTGCCCATGACCTGTCTGACTTTTACTAAAAATATCCATGACAATATCTTAGCCTTGTGTATAGCTCAGTGTGAAGTAAAAGTTAGTATATACTAAAGTTTAACTTTTTATAGCCTCTTCCTTAAGTCAGGTTGAACACATGCTTGCATGCTAGCAATAATATATAATCCTGCTTTGCTTGACTAAGTTACAAGATATAAAAATAACAATTTAAAAAACTCATAAATGAGAACTTCTAGAATAATAGAAGTATCATTTGTTAATGGGGGTCACAGTAATTGTGCATGCTCAGTGTGCCCTATTCTCACTACACCTGTATGAACCTGACTACCACGATGTTGTAGGGACTTCCATTCCTTTCATGTTAGTTTCTGGGGCGGTGCAGGATTTGAAAATGCTACTATTCCCATGGATTAGTGCTGCAATACATGATATGAAGCAGTAGCGAGCTCTATACCAGCTTTGGGAATACTATTTGAGTCCTGATCATCCCCCTTGGCTTTTTCTTCTGACCATATCACCTCATTCTTTTAATCACCATGCTGGCTTCTGTTTCTCCTTATCAAATCTAAGGTCCTGTCTACACTGGCAAGTTTCTTTGCAGTAAAGCAGCTTTCTGCATTGTAACTCCCGAGGTGTACACACTGCCAAGCCACTTAGTGTGCAGTTGCAGCGCTGTAA